TGAAGTGCTTAACTTGTTTTGTTGTCACCCCAACAAACTAGTATCAGAGCTATGACTAAATACGGGAGAGTTAAGATCGACAAATTCAATGGGCACGATTTCGGTTTCTGGAAAATGCAAATCGAAGAATACCTCTACCAGAAGAACATACATAAACCATTGTCTAAATGTAAACTTGAAGAAATGAAGCAGGAGGATTGGGAATTGTTAGATCGCAAGGCACTTGGTGTGGTGATTATCCTTGGCAAAGAATGTAGCATACAACATTGTCAATGTGAAGACTACTCATGAGTTAATCAATTCACTATCTAACATGTATGTAAAACCTTCAGCAGCGAACAATGTTCACTTGATTCGACAATTGGTAAATCTAAAGACAAAGGAGGGTGGCTCATTGACTAATCATGTTAATGAATTTAATTCAATCCTATCAAGGTTGACGTCGGTTGATATTAAATTTGAAAATGAAGTCATGGCATTGCTACTATTATCATCTTTTCCTGATAGTTGGTCTGGTACAGTGACAACAGTTAGCAGCTCAATTGGGGTTGCTAAGCTGACATTCGAAGGCATTCACAATTTAATCCTTGGTGAGGATGTACGCAGACGGAGTGTTGTAGAAGCTTCCAATAGTCTTCTAAGTACTAAAGATAGAGGAACGGGGTCCAACAGAGGATGTGGGGGTAGTGGAAAATCGAAGTCGAGAAAAAGAGGTGGACAGAACAACAGGAGGGACGTGACCTGTTGGAACTACAAAGAGAGTAGTCATATCAAAATTCATTGCCTAATGCTCATGGCGGATAAAGGCTAAAAAGGGATGAATATGGCAGAAGATTCACACTCATTTTCATAGTTGAAAACTCAATAGAATCATGGGTCTTGGATTCTGGTGCATCATTTCACGCTAGTCATTCCAAATATGTGATTTAGAACTTCAGGCATTACAAAGGGAAGGTCAGGCTGGCAGATAACAAGTGTCTGGATATCATGGGTGTCGAGTATGTGGTTCTCAAGATGACTCTGGGTACAGATTGGACTTTGAAAATGTCAAGTTCATTCCAGATCTAAAGAGGATGTTGATATCAGTTAGACAACTTGATAATGAAGGTCATCATTTTACATTTGGTGATCACAAGTGGAAAGTGAAGAAGGGAAACTTGATCATTGCTAAGGGTCAGAAACATGGTACACTATATATGGTGGATGTTTCTGAAGAGGAAGCAAGCATTGTTGAAGCAGTTGGAACATCCACTCTATTCCATAAAAGATTTGTTCATATGAGTGAGGAGGGAATGAGGAAGCTTGTATCTAGTGGGAGGATGCCAGATTCAAAGAATGTGACAGATCTTTCTAAGCCATGTTCTATTGACAGACAGAAGAAAGTCAGTTTTGTGAAGATAGGAAATCCACCTAAGTTTGGGAAGTCGGTTTCAGTTCATTATGGTGTTTACAATCCAACTTCAAATTCTTCAGTGGGAGGATCCCATAATCATGCAAACCTATCTCTGGTCAAAGGATAGGCAGATGTTCAATAAGCAGTGGGAGCTCTGATAAACCTGGAAATAGTGGGAGCTCTGGTGATAATGGTTATAATGGTGGAGTTGTAAGTGTTACAAAGATCAAACCACATATTATCCAGAAGACCACGAAGCAGAGTACTCCAGTAATGTATTATCCATCAACCAAATGACACGCTGACGTGTGAGAATGGGTCAAAACTAGAGGCCTTGAGGATGAACTCCATACAGTGGGAGAAGGCTATGGATGACAAGTTGAGCGGATTGCGGAATAGTAAGATGTTTCAAGTTAAGGATGAGATAGATGGCGGTAAAACTTGCAAGGGAAGATTAACAGTCAAGGGAATACAACAGAAGGGAGAGGATGATTCTCCAGTTGCGAAGAAACTTATTTCTATGATGAATGCAGTGGCCTCTAAAAATCTCCATCTAGAGCACCTAGATGTGAATACAACTTATCTCCTTTATGATAACTTAGAATGAGGCATCTTGAAGGCACGGCCAGAAAGTGCTCTTACAGATGGTAAGAAAAAGCTAGTGTTCAAGAAGAAAGAAAACATGTATGGCATGAAGCAAACTTCTAAGCAGTTGTACTTAAAGTTTGATAACTTTATGAAGAGGAGTGGGTTAGAAGACGTGAGGTTGATCACGGTTGTTACTTGAAGAATTTAAGTTCCTCATACATCATCCTCGTATTAAATGTTGATGACGTATTGATTGTTGGTTCCAACACGCAGAAGATCAATGAGCTTAAGATGAGGCTAACTAGAGAGTTCAAGATAATGAACCAAGGGGCTACTAAGCTGAAGAAAGTCCTTAGTATGGAGAACTCAGTGAATGAATATACTAAGGTGTTTACCATTGAAAAATTGAAGCCATGCAAGGCTTCAGCTGCCCTTCCAAGATTTTGAGGATGAGGGTTGGCGTAGAGCGGGTGAGAGATTGAGAGAATGATGAAGACTTTGAATGGAATATGAAGTTGTTCAATCCTTCAAGTGGGAGATTGTTGAGGTATGAAGTCTTGTCCAACATGGAGCATTTTGATCATGTTCATGGAGCATTTGGAGCACTTGGAACTAAATGGAGCACTTGGGGTTCATGGAGCATATGACAAATGAATAGATCATCTGAAGGGAATGGATCGTCTGACAAAGGAACGGATCAAGGGCCAAAGGAACGGATCATATAAAAGGGGGTTTAGAGCACCTGGAATAGGTTTGGAGCACTTAGGAGTGATATGGAGTAACAAGAGGACCTTGTTGCGCCATCTGATAAAGGGATGGGCCAAGAAGGATGTTGTTGCGCCATAAGCATTCCTTCTTGCGCCATGTTGCTCCCTCTTGCGCCATGAGGTATCCCTCTTGGGCCATGAGTTATCCCTCTTGCGTCATAGGGTTTCCTCTTGCGCCATAGAGTATATTGTTGTACCAAGCATGTTCTTGTTGCACCAAGGTGGTGATGTTGCTCCAACCTAGAAGTTCTTGCGCCACACTTGAAGCCTGTTGTGCTATCATTGCACATGTTGCGCCATCATGTGCAAGATGGGTCATTTTGGTTCCTTGATGAACTATGGTATCCCTGATGAGCCAAGTATGATATAAAGTCCTCTATGATGCTCAAGATCGTTCAAGGATGCTCACAAGTTGGTATTGCTCAAGGATTACACCATGTTGTGCCACCATGATGGATGTTGGGCCATTAGTGTTCATGATGTGTCACTTGTACATCATGATGTTCCACTATTGCAGAAGGTGCTTCATCATGTATGTTGCTGATGCTCATGGATTGTATGACATGGAAGAATGTTTTAGAAGATGCTGCATGGCGGAATATGATTGGTTGTCACCATTCATGGGCCTATGGGCCAAATGGGCTTGGCCCATTAGGGTTTTAGGTCTGATTCCTCAAGTATAAATAGGCTCATACCCCAATCATTGTAAATTGTTAGATTTCTGTGAGAGCTCAAAGTGAAATACAATTTTAAGTGTTTGTAATTGTTCCAGGAAGTTAATAAAATCATCTATTTCTCTCTCTCGTTCGCCCGTGGACGTAGGTCACCTTGACCGAACCACGTTCAATATCGTGTTCTTGTGATTTACGTTTTTCAGAAGTTTTGTGAGTTCACCGAAGTTTGTTTTTTGATATTTGTCTGAAGTGCTTAACTTGTTTTGTTGTCGCCCCAATACAATTTTCATTATTTGGGTTTCTAACCCTATTATGGCTATACATTTGTAATTTTTCTAACTCCTTGATGATGGTTTTTAATGTTTTTTGGTTGTTGAAAAAAACAAATACGTGCCGCAAGTCTACAACTAGGCCCTTTGCGAAAATATTATTAACGTTTGTATTGGAAGATAGTAATATTAATACCTCCCGAATGATATAAAATCTTACCAAGAATTATTGATTAGCTTTGTGAAAGAAAAAAAAAACATAAGGGAGACAAATTTTGTGAAATTTGTGGTTGTATTATTAAGTTTTTGAAAAATCGTGGTCTTGTGGTGAATACACCACCACAAATGTAATGTTCAAAATACTTTTGATTAAGGAGATTTTTTGTTATGACACCTTACACACATATATCTGTTACTTTACTCCCAAACTATATATTTAGTCTAAAAACTGTATATTTCGTCTAAAAATCACGTCACGTAAACTTAATATATGACTAAAGGACGTCTGACTGGGCTAAAAGCCCTCTTGTGCAATAGGACTATAAATTTAACAAGACGGATGCTAGTTATCAAATAATGTAATTACAAAGTCCATATTTTAGTCGTGTATAGTTATTAGTTAACGTGGAAGAAAAGGATCAATGACTAGAATGTGAATGTAAGTCTAATTAGGTGACCACAATAGGACAAGAAACACTTGCATGGAAAGCATTAGGAAATTTACAACAACATAAAGTTTTGGATATGTAGTAAAGGTCCTTAGGCTTTGATATAAAACTTTCTTCCTAGTTTTGTCTTTAGAGCATTTAGTCCAATCTAAGTATTTCTCCATCATTTGCATGATTGGTCAAATATTCTACCTATTTTGTCTCTTTAACATTCCACCTTTTGAATTAGGTAAACCCCTATACATTAAAAATATATATAGAAAAAATGAATGATAGATAATTCGCTGAATAATGATATAAAATGTAACTATATATTAACATCAATTAAATAATCTTTGAACAATGGACTTGTAGAGGTTTTATTCTGGTCATGATTATTGAAACCAAAATGTAACTATATGTTAACATCAATTAAATAATCTTACCATTTGCGAATTAATGTCATCAATAATCTTTTAATTCTGGTCATGATTATTGAAACCAAAATAATTCTTTTTTGTAAACACATTTAATTACAAAAACCAAACTTGAGGATAGTTCTTATAACATCAATAAACTCCAAGGACTAAATAGGCCAATCTGCTTAAGTTGTAGTAGTATGAAGTATCTGAATTTTGAACCTTCTCAGCACCTTCCTCGTCGTGTAGTCTATACTGTGTTGTATGTGTCGTTAGGCAAATGCCATTGAAACTCTTCCATTAATAAATACTTGTGAAACACCTCAGATTCTAGAATTTGGTCGCTGTTTCTCTTCTCTAGATCAAAACATGCCTTCTGCCATGGATGAAGGTACTCTTCAAGCTCTTAAAATACCTGTATGTTTGTCAGTTTGTGCTTGCTTTTTGTCATATTTCCCATATCGATTACAATCTACCTGTTTCAAAATTCCTGAAGTTTTTCGTATCATGTTCTTAGCTGAAATGTATGAAATCGAAGTTTGAGGTGATTGTGAGATGAAGATTAACTAGATTAATGCATTTGGTGTGTCATGAGACGGAAATTATTCTCAAAATCGATTAATGTTCTTAATTTTCTTTTTAATTTGATAATCAGGAATAGGAGGCTTATCGAAACGGCACATGACTCCATCAAAACAAAATCAAAATTATAACCCTAGTTGCGATCCATCACCATCACCATCTCCATCTTCCACATCTGCTCCGGCACTGGTACTGACAAATTCCGGGAAGCGGATAGATCAGGCTGGGAAGAAGAAATACGTGAAGCAAGTAACAGGAAGACATAATGACACCGAGCTGCACTTAGCAGCCCAAAGAGGTGATCTGGCAGCCGTGAAGCAGATTCTCGATGACATTAATTCGCAAATGGGAAGAACTTTAATCGGAGCTGATTTTGATGCGGAGGTTGCAGAGATCCGAGCATCAGTCGTGAACGAGGTGAACGAATTGGGAGAAACGGCACTCTACACAGCTTCTGAAAGGGGACATCTCGAGGTAGTAAAAGAGCTTTTGAAATATTCAGATAAGGAAACACTTTTGAAAAGAAGCCGATTAGAGTTTGATCCTTTACATGTCGCTGCTAGTCAAGGACACCATGGTAAACACTAAACATCCCCTAAATCTTCATACCTTGATTTTGTTAATTGTTAAATCAACATATCTTCATAGCACGATTTTGAATATTTTCAGCTGTAGTCCAACTCCTACTTGACCATGACGTAACACTCTGCAAAACCAGATCACAAGGAAACGCAACACCTCTTATCACCGCAGCTTCAAAAGGCCACACTGATGTCGTCAACGAACTGCTATCAAAGGATTCGACCTTGTTAGATATTCCTAGATCCAATGGCAAAAACGCATTACATCTAGCAGCAAGAGCAGGTCATGTCGAGACTTTGAAGACTTTGCTCGATAAGGATTCAAATCTAGCCAGAAGAACAGACAAAAAGGGGCAAACCGCCCTGCATATGGCGGTGAAAGGCGCTAGCAGCGACGTCGTTAAATTGCTGCTCGAAGCTGATGCCGCCATCGTTATGCTGCCGGACAAATCCGGTTTCACCGCATTACATGTCGCCACAAGAAAAAAGAGAGCAGAGGTACGTTTCGATAGTTTCAGAAACACAAATTTTAGGGTTTTAGGGTTTTGAAAAATTGAATGATAACCTTACGATAATTTTTACAGATAGTAAACGAATTGCTTAGTCTCCCTGATACGAATGTTAACGCATTAACCAGAGACCACAAAACGGCTCTAGACATAGCCGAAGGGCTTTCGTTATCGGAGGAAGCCGCCGATATAAGGGCGTGTCTGGTTCGATGCGGCGGAGTCCGGGCAAACGAGTTGAACCAGCCACGAGACGAGTTAAGAAAAACGGTGACTCAGATAAAAAATGACGTCCACATCCAGCTTTTTACAGACGAAAAAAACAAACAAAAACGTCCATGGAATCGCTAAAGAGCTTCGAAAACTCCACCGTGAAGGAATCAACAACGCCACGAACTCCGTCACCGTTGTGGCGGTGCTTTTCGCAACTGTGGCTTTTGCAGCCATATTCACGGTTCCCGGTGGGGATAACGACGATGGGATGGCGGTGGTGGTGAACCGGGTTTCGTTTAAAATATTTTTTATTTTTAATGCGATTGCTCTTTTTACGTCGTTGGCGGTGGTGGTTGTTCAGATTACGTTGGTTAGAGGGGAGACGAAGGCGGAGAGGAAGGTGGTGGAGGTGATTAATAAGTTGATGTGGTTGGCGTCTGTGTGTACTTCGGTGGCGTTTATGGCGTCGGCGTATATAGTGGTTGGTCGGAAGTATGAATGGGCGGCGGTTCTGATTACGGTAGTTGGTGGTGTTATAATGGTGGGGGTGTTGGGAACGATGACGTATTATGTGGTGAAATCGAAGAAAACTCGGTCGATGAGAAGGAGGGAGAAGATTGCAAAGAGTGGGACAAACTCATGGCTGCCTTCGGAGTTTTCCAATTCGGAAGTTGAGAGAATTTATGCTATTTGATTTTGACCTACAAATAGAATTAATGTTTGTTTATATATTTTATTCTTCTTTGATTTAAAAATATACTGTATTGGTATTATGGTATAGACCTATAGAACAACCAAAGAAACCGAAGAGAGATGGTAAACTGACTTAAATGAAAGAAAGAAGACAAAATTGCAAGAATGGTCCCTGTGGTATGTCAAAAATAACAACTTTGGTCCAAAATGGGTTTGGCTCGCAAGGATGGTCCAATAGTTTTGTTTTGTTGCGATTTTAGTCCAATTTCCTATGAACTTTTTTATAATGACGGATTTGCCCCTTATTATTTTATTTTCCATTTTTCTTTTATTACAACAATTAAAGAACAATTAAAAATAAAACAAAAATAAAATCTCTCTCTCTCTCTCTCTCTAATAAACCAATACAATCAACACATATCCTTGTTCTTCACTTCTGCATTCGTTCCTAGCCAAGAACACAAGAGCATTCTTGTTCTTTTCATGTATACCTGCAAATGAGAAATACAACCACTCTTTGTTATTGCTTCATCTTCTTTCCATGGCAATTTCAAGCAACCAAAACACAAACCTAAACCTAGTGATTTACACCCCATCGATCTGTCAAGCAAAACAAACATACACCCATCAATTTCCTGTAAAAGATTAAACTCCCTCATCCATTCCATTTATCCCTTTCTGTCAAGAATCAATCAACAAACACTCATTTTAACCTAAATTTATTCACTTAACCCCATGGATTTACAATCAAAGTAAAAAGAAGAGAGATGAAAGGAAACCTGTGATTGTCGAGCAAACAACAACGCCGAACACCCCTCATCGCACCTGCCCTTCTTCACGTTGAGCTCCACTGCCAAACACACCACCTGCGCCGATGTTGTTGCTCTCCTAGCTCAACCGGTTCTCCCTTCCGCATCACACCTTGTTATCAGAACAGGAAGAGAGAAGCTTCATTGCCTTCCATTTCCTTCTCTTCGGCCCCATAGACCCTCACTACTGCCCTACCCATCCCGTTCCCTCACCTGTTCCATGGTCGACGACCACGTTATACCCACCGACGGTCTCCCTCGTCGCTATCAATCGACCCAGGAGCACCAGGATTAGCCGCCTGCGTGCCTTCTTCCCTTCCCCTCGCGAATCGCCATCCACCGTCGAACCACACCCCTCAATCGAAATGTTACTTAAGATTTCTTACGATTCTTCATTTTCTCCGGTCCCGTCATGCGCCGGAGGCGCTTCATCTTCTTCACGATCGATCATTAATCGGAGGCTAATGTTTGATTTTATTTCTGTTTCCTTCGTGTCTACTGTGGTTCATTCGCGTTCATATCACCTGATCAAACATCGAACACTGGCACAAAAAGCCCTTTCCCTTTTATCCATCTAGATCGATTCAAGAATCCAAATAAAATTTCTGCATTATTATCTTTTGATAATTCAAATTTTTAGGGTATTTTCCATTGTAATGTTCTTGGGTAATGTTTTAAGTGATGACGAGAGAGAGAGAGAGAGAGAGAGAGAGAGAGAGAGAGAGATTTTCTTTTTTTGATTTCTGTAATAAAAAAATTAAAAATGGAAAATACCAAGGGCAAATCCGTCATTATAAAAAGTTTTAAAATTTTTGGACTAAAATCGAAACAAAACGAAACTATTGGACCATCCTTGCGAGCCAAACCCATTTTGGACCAAAGTTGCTAGTTTTGACATACCACATGGACCATTCTTGCAATTTTGTCAAGAAAGAATAAAAGTTTCAAATTTGTATAGAAAATATGATTTATCTTTTTGTTATATACATATTATCAATGGTCTGTTTTTGAAATACATAAGGCCCGTTACCTTGGTAACCCTCACGGCACCATACGGTGGGGTCACCACACCGTGAGAAACAAAACCATCACAACTCTTATTCTTTTTATTTTCTTTTCATGTTTTGATATTTGTATATGTAACGTCCGGGTTTCGGGGCTAAGCATTTTTAGACGATGTAATAGTCTAGGTCAACTATTGTAACTCGTTTGATGTAATAAAAATGAAATATTTGAGTATTTTTGTGAATTTATGTGCTTATTATTTAATTATAAATGTATAATTATTAAAGAATAAAAATAAGCGTCAAAATTAAAATATGAGATAAGCCCGATATCTTTTACATAAAGTTGTAGTGGTCAAAACAAGGATTCCGGAGATATAAAGAACGCCGAAATCCGAGTTATAACGAAGAAGTTATGACCCGACGAAGTTTCACGTCGGAACCGGCACGATACCGGGAAGCGTGAATAGTGAATTTATGATAAAGCGAGTTTTTAGCCGACACGACCTAAACGATAATCGAAGAGCTCTTTAATTGTGGCGTAACAATAGAAAGACAGACGAAAACGGACGTCGGATGAAGAAGTTATGAATTTTTAACGGACCAATCCTGTCCCGGCCTGTTAAAAATATAACTTTTAAAATAAATTCAAAATTTGCCAACGGAGTCTAAACGAAAGTTGTAGATTACGTTCCCGCCTTCGCGTGGATATAAATAACGTCAAAAACGGAGCTCGTATGCGAGAGTTATGATTTTTCTAAGACGGGAGGCCGATACGCGGTATTGGGTGACATGGCACCACCAGAAATTGGACATGTGGCACCACCAGAAATTGGACACATGGCACCACCCAGAAATTGGACATGTGACACCACCAGAATTTGGACAAGTGGCACCACCAGAAGGCCACCACATGCCCCAACTCACTATAAATAGAAGTGTTGGGTTCTCTCATTTCTTACACCTTTCCTCTTCCACTTTCTCTCTCTAAACTCTCTCTCTAAGCTCCCTTGAGCCCCTAAAGTCTAGGTAAACCCCCTAGCACCCGAAGGAAGTCCCGAGGCTCCCGGAGTCCCGAGAAAAGAACCTTTCGGCTCGGAAACGCTGCTCCAGCGAAGCCCGGTTTTGAGAAAAAAAAACCCGCTGTAAGTAAGGTACGCCTACGAAATTTTTAATATAACTTTTAAATAATTATAGTAATGTTATTAGGTCCTTAAAATAATTATTTGGGCTATTATTATTTATATATTGAGTGTTATTTAACGCTTGTATAATAATAATAATAGCCAGACTATTAATTAGTCGCGGTTAACGTTAAAACTAAACGCTAGTGGTATTAATACTAGGTTTTGATCAAGGAAAAATTGTTTTGAGATAACGGAGTGCTGTTCGAGTACCGAGTCACCACCTAATCAGGTGAGTGCATAGTTACTTTCATCTTACACATAGATATGAAGTATTTTATATTAATTACGTGCTATGTGTGCATATTATCTGAATAGTTGCTGCCTATACTGATGAAAGATTTTTATACATGTTTTAAATAATTTAAACTGTATATGTATTTTATATCTACAAAAAAAATGTTGGAGTAAAACATGGGTAGATGTAATAAGACGATGTGTGATAAAATGATGAGAGGCCTCGATGTTGTTGTTGTTGATTCTGTCATCTAGCGGAGTATGGATGACGACCACGGACTCTTCTAGACAGTCCAGTGGAACGCTAGCAGGCTCGCAACCTGTAGGTGTTTGTGAACGATGTGTTCACCGGTGTACTCCATCCCCCTCATGGTTGCCTTTAGGACATTTATTGCTGAGGAAACCCCTTGGCAGTAGTGTCCATCCCGATGTTGATCCTTAGTCTAGGTCCCTTATGATAGGTGTTTTAGGGACGTAATGTGAGGATAACGGGAACGGGTAATCGGGTTATTGTTGGTTGATGAAATTAATAAACTTATTTATTGTGGGTTGAAAACCCTATGTGCTCACCAGGCTCCCAAGCCTGACCCACTCAGTTTCTTGTATTACAGGTAGTGGCGCACGAGCATAGATATGATGTTTGGGATGAGAGATTACGGATATAGGCCTGTAGATATGAATAAATGTAGTAAGGCTTATATTGTACTGTTTATGCTTTTGATCTGTATTGAACATGACATCCCGAGGTTTTTAATGAAATACATTTCTACGGAAATGCTTTGATAAATCTTTATCATATTTTATTTTGGGAACAAATTCCGCAACACTTTTATTTAAAATGTTACTCTGATTTTTAAACAAAGCATAAACAAAATCGGTCTTTTCTGGCCGTGAAAAAGGGGATGTCACAGTATATTACAATATATTCTTGTTTACTACTCCTTCTGTCCCAAAATTATAGTTCATCTTTCCTTTTTGGTTTGTCCCAAAATAATAGTCCACTTCTAAAAATAAATAACATTTTTACCAAAATACCCCCTCATTATTACTTAACCAACTAAGCATTTAATGGAACATTAAATGCAAAGTAAGGACAAAACTGTTATTTTTAAATAAAGTTAGTGGTAATTAATGTTTGTCTTAATATGTATGTTTTTTGTCTGTGGACAATAATATTGGGACGGAGGGAGTATTATATAAATATCAAGAAAAAATATAAAAAGTGTGGGAAAGTGAATGATGACAATTTCCTAAATATGGAGAACAAAGGGAAATGCCATCGTGTTAAGGTGACATGGTAAAAGCAAGGGAGTATATCCTTAGTTTAAGGATTTGCATCAACAAGTTTCGTATTTCTCTTGGAGGTGCAGATTAAGCTAGAGATCTGTAAATTTGAGAAGCAAAGACATCAAGATGTGGGAGAAATCGTTGTTTTTCACAATGTCTATTGATGAAAGTTTTATTGAAAATTCCTAATGCCCTTTTATTATCGGAAAGAAGAGACCATGTTGAGTAGATCTCCATATAAGGAAAAAAAATGTTAACTCATCAGCAACAACCTTCTAATATCAGTCACTAATAGTATTTTTAGTTTACTTTGGAAAAATATCATTACTAATGTGTGTACACTGAAAAAGATCACCTATAGTACGAGTTCAAAAAATGATCAATTGTATATTTGTATGTGCATGTAACGACCCAAAAATCAATGGTAAAAATTTCATTTTTAATATAGCTAAAACATTGATATCGTTTATTTCAAACATT